AAATAAACAGCGAAAGGAGACAGAAATAAACATAGAGAAGAAGAGAGAGAAATAAACAGAGAAAGGAGACAAAAACGGGCAGGGACAAAAGGAGACAGAAAGAGAGGAGAGACAGAAGTACACGTAGAGAAAAAAAGAGACAGAAATAAACAGAGACAGAGAGGAGACAGAACTAGACAGAGACAGAGAGGAGACAGAAATAAACAGAGACAGAAATAAACAGAGGTAGAAACAAACAGAGACAGAGGAAAAGAGACAGAAATAAACAGAGGCAGAGAAGGGGAGACAGAAATAAACAGAGACAGAAATAAACAGAGAAATAAACAGAGGTAGAAATAAACAGAGACAGCGAGAATGAGACAAAAATAAAGAAGCAAGCAAACAGAGTAATGAATAGAGACAGAGGAGACAGAAATAAACAGAGACAGGTCAATAGAAAGAAACAAATAAATAGAAATAAAGAGACAGAGCTGTGGTGGACAAGGAAATAAAGAGACAGCAACAAACAAAAACAAAAAAAGATAAGGAGACAAAGTAAAAAGAGAGATAGACCCCCTAAGAGACATACAAGGCATCTGCTGCTTCCACTTATAGAGACACCTGCAGCAGCAGCAGACAAGTGCAGCAGCAGCAGACAACTGTAGCAGCAGCAGACAACAACAACAACACCAGCAGCACACAACTGCAGCAAGAGACAGAGAACTGCAGCAGCAGAGAGAAGAAGGAGCTAGAGCTCCCCACGCCTTTAAGTGACTTCCACGTATACAACGCAGACTCATCATTTGCAGCAGCCCTCATTTAGTAGCCTGCAGCAGCAGCAGCAGCAGCAACAGCTGCAGCAAACCAGCAGCAGAGCAGCAGCACGTAAGCGGCCAAGGCGATGCGGAGACGCCCAGTTCCCCATACTGGGGTTTCTGTGTCCTGTGGATATTACTAGTTAGTTTGTTAGTTTTGTTAGCTAGCTAGCTAGCTAGCTAGCTAGCTACTTTATTATGTATCGCCCTCTAAACAGGTACGAAGGGAGATTGTAGGGGTTGCAGCAGCAACAGTTGAGTAGCAGCGTTTTGTTTGCTGCTGCTAAGCAGCACCTAGGGCTGCCTTGCAGCAAGTAGGGCCCTTAAAGCAGCTGCAGGGGCCCCTGACGAAGCGAAAAGTGCTGCTGCTGCAGCTTTTGCTGCTGCACCTGCTGCTTCGTTAGGGAGCCCCGCGCTTCTCTCTCTGTTTTGATGTCTACAGCAGTCAATCCTGCCACTCCTATACAGCCACAGTGTCTCAGCATCTAAACTTAGGAATGCCTCTATGCATGCAGAGCAGAACTAAGGGGGTTGTTAGCAGGAGGTGGGTACTAGGGGGCCTTATAGAGGCCTCTAGGGGCCCCTGGAGGCCCCTGGGGGCCCCCATACAGCCTCATCTTTAGCACAACTGCAGAGACAAAGGTTTGGGGTTGTGCTTATATAGCGTAAAGAAGGCAGCGCTGCTGGTGGCTGGTGTATGCACACCGGAGGAGGGAGCAGAGAAATGCATGCAGGGTGCTGCGTTTGATTGTTTTAAAAAGAAATAAACAATCAGTATGTAAATGTATTGATATTTATTTATCTATTTTTAATAATAACAAAAGAAATAAGAGATCTGAGCGGCGCAGCAGCAGCGGCGGCCCCGCTGCTGCTGCTGCTGCAGCAGGGCGCAGCAGCAGCAGCGACAGAAGCGGCGTGCAGCAAGGGTTGCTGCGAGGGTTTAGGGTTTAGGGTTTGCTCTTTAGCTGCAAGAAAAAGAGATCTTTTATTGGGACTGGACGCCTGTTTCCTGTAGGTCTGGGGTTTAGGGTTTAGGGTTTAGGGTTTAGGGTTTAGGGTTTGACGGTCGCCAGAGCCCGCTGCTGCTGCAGCTGCCCCCCAACAACTTAGGGTTTGGGGTGGCTGCAGGGTCTGTCTGCGCATTCTGAGGTTAAAACTTTTCTTTATTTGCATCCTTTTATGTTGAAGTATATGTATATTTAGGCGTATATCTCTTTTGCTTGTTGCTGTACTCTCTATGAATGTTGCTGGGGGACTGGTGAGGGGTTTCTTAAGCTGCTAGGCGCTGCTGCTGCTGCTGCTGCTGCTGCAGTTTCTCTCAGGTGTACGTACACCTCAGAGTCTTCACTGTTTTCGTTCTTCTGTCTTTTCTTTGCTTTATCTCATCGGGGCCCCCGAGCTGCTGCGGCGTCGCCCTTTGCTTGCTGCAGCTCCGGATGTTTGCTGCTGTTCCTGCTGCTGCTGCTGCTGCTACAATGGACGGTGCTCCTGCTGCATGCATGCATGCATATCTTTCCTCTTACTTCTCTCTGCTTCCTCGGGGGCCCCTGGGGCCCCCCTGCTACCCAATGGTTCGCCTGCTGTGCTACAAGGAGTTCTAGGGTTTAGGGTTTAGGGTTTAGGGTTTATGCTTGTATGTGTATGCAGGGCGCTGGAAGGTTCTATTGAGAAGTGCTTCGTAGGTATCTCTTGCGTATAAACACTGTTTAGGTGTACAGACACCTCAGCTCGCCTCTGCGGCCTGGGGCCCCTCCTACGGCCCGGCGCTTCATTTTTGTTTTTCTTTTCTTTTGCAACACATTTAAGGGGAAGATGGCGCTTAAAAGAATCAATAAGGTAACAACAATGATGGTTTAGGGTTTAGGGTTTAGGGTTTAGGGTTTAGGGTTTGAGGCTAGACCACTTCCTGCTTTTGAGCTTAGGGTTTAGGGTTTTCAGTGTAGTGTTAAGCTACAACATGCTTTAGGGTGTAGGGTTTAGGGTTTAGGGTTTTAGGCTGTTATCTGCTTCAATATCTAGGGTTTACGGTCTAGGGTTAGAGTTTAGAGACTACGATTTAACCTTCAGGTTCAGGGTTAATTAGGGTTTAGGGCTTTTTAGGGTTTAGGGTTTACTAGGGTTTAGGGTTTAGGGTTTAGGGTTTGCGTTCAGGAGCTTAATGACCTCAGCAAGGACCCCCCGACAAATTGTTCTGCGGGGCCTGTGGGAGACGATCTCTTTCACTGGCAGGCAACCATTATGGGGCCAGAAGACAGGTATTAAACCCTAAACCCTAAACCCTAAACCCTAATAAACCCTAATAAACCCTAGTAAACCCTGCACCCGAATGAACCCTAGACTCTAAACCCTACTAAACCCTAGACCTTAGCAGGCCTCTTCAAGCTCTGTGGCTTTGGCCTCGAATAACGCACAGCGGTTTGCTGCAGCAGGCGTGCGTGCTTAGGGTTTAGGGTTTAGGGTTTAGGGTTTAGGGTTTTGTGTATGTCTTGCAGCCCCTATAGCGGCGGCGTCTTCTTCTTGAATATTCATTTCCCTTCGGATTACCCCTTTAAACCCCCAAAGGTATTTTTACTAAACCCTAAACCCTCTCTCATGGCTGCCCCTTCATCTGATTTAGGGTTTAGGGTTTAGGGTTTTTATTAGGGTTTAGGGTTAGTTAGTTATGGGTTGACGAGCCCACCAACTCAAAACCCTAAAAGAAAAGAATAATCAAATCTTAAGCTTAATACAATACTGCACTTGCTGCCTCTGCTGCTGTTTTTGCTGCTGCTGCTCTCTCTGCTGCTGCTGCCTTTGCTGCTGCTGCTGCTGCTGCTGCTGTTTTAGGTGAACTTTACAACAAAGATATATCACCCCAACATTAACGGCCAGGGAGCGATTTGCTTAGACATTCTGAAGGACCAGTGGTCTCCCGCCTTGACCATCAGCAAAGTGCTGCTTTCTATCTCTTCCCTCCTCACAGACCCCAACCCCGGTAATTAGGGTTTAGGGTTTAGGGTTTAGGGTTTGGGGTTTGGGGCTTAGGGTTCATGGCGTTTGGTGGGTGTATGAAGCCATCGTGCTTCCGTTGTTGCTGCTGCTGCTGCTGCTGCTGCTGCTGCTGCTGCTGCTGCTGCTGCATTAGGAGATAATCATTTTTGGCTCTACCAAGGGTCTCTACACCCTACAGGCTCTAGCCTAGGGTTTAGGGTTTAGGGTTTAGGGTTTAGGGTTTGTGTTTGCTGCAGATGATCCTCTAGTCCCTGAAATAGCACACATCTACAAAACAGACAGAGCCCGTTACGATCAGACAGCTCGAGAGTGGTCTCAGAAGTATGCCCAATAGACTTGTGTTCTCCTAAGGGGTCCCTAGGGGGCCCCCTAGGGGGCCCCCCCCCTTTTTGGGGGCCCCCTTGGGGCCCCCCCCTTTTGGGGGCTCCCTAGGGGACTTCCTTTTTTGGCGGCCCCTTAGGGGGCCCCCCTAAGGGGCCTCTCCCCTAGGGGGGCCCCCTTGGGGCCTCTCCCTTTTAGGGGGCCTCCTAAGGGGCCTCTCCCTTAAGGGGCCCCCTAGGGGCCCTCTCCCCTAGGGGGGCCCCCTAGGGGCCTTCACCTTTGGGGGCCTCTTAAGGGCCTTCCCTTTAGGGGGCCCTCTGGGGGCCTCTCCCTTAGGAAGCCACCTGGGGGCCTCTCCCTTAGGGGGCCCCCGGGGCCCCCATCCAACTAACAGGAGATAACAACTCCTGCTGAAGGTGGTGGCTGTGCTGTAAACAAGGCGCATTTATAAGGGGCCCCTCGGGGTTAAGGGCCCCCCGCCTTTGGGGGCTTCGCCTAGGGGAGGGGGGAAGGGGGGGGCCCTCTAGCTAGGGGCCCCTAGTAGGGAGAGACAGGGGAGATGGGGGGGTTGCTGCTGCTGCGGCTGCTTTTGCTGCTGCTGCTGCATGCAGCGGGGGGCCCCTGGGGCCCCCATCGTGCTTTTCATCGGTGCTCAAGCAAAAGTAGTTTGACTTGTGCGGCACAGAGAGGCCGGGGGGCCCCTCCTGCTGTGGGGCCCCAGGGCCTCCAACCTTGGGGGCCCCCTAGGGGCCCTATAGGGGGGGCCCCAGGGCCTTCAACCTTGGGGGCCCCCTAGGGGGCCCTATAGGGGGGGCCCCCAGGGCCCTCAGCCGCTCTTTCTCTGTAGGGCGCCATGAACTCTTGAATCTTGGACGGTGTTTTGTGGTTGACGAGGGGGTTTAGGGTTTAGGGTTTACATAGGTTATAGGACAGGTAGAAAGATCGGCTTGTTCTTCATAGTAAACAAATATACACCGCTATAAGCTATAAGCAAACAAATACAGAAAAAAATAAAGACAAGGAGTGCTGTTAATTATATCTGCTGTATAGACAGCAGACGCCTTATCTGCATTTGCTGCGCTGAATATAAAAGCAGCAATAATAATAAATATTAATAAATAATAATAGTAATAATAAATAATAAATAATAATTTATAAATAAAGATAATCTACTCGTTTTATATTTATAATGAAGGGTTTTCTGGTTTTGACTGTTGCGGTGTACATACACCAAATGATATATTAAACAAAGCCCTAAACAATTAAAGAGGAGACAGCGACGAAGTGCTGCAAGGGAGAGACGCGTAAACCCTAAACCCTAAACTGAGGGTTTAGAGACCTCGGCCTGCAAACCCTAAACCCTAGACCCTCAAAGGTTTCCGGGCCTCGGCCTCCAAACCCTCAGCTATGGGCTTGGGGCCTTCGGCTAATAAACCCTAAACCCTCGAATGAGGGTTTCGGGCCCTGGACCGAGTAACCCTAAACCCTAAACCCTTAAATGAAGGTTTAGGCGCCTGGGCCTATAAACCCAAAACCCTCGATTGAGGGTTTAAACCACTGATAGACCTTAAACCCTAAACCCTCGACTTAGGGTTTAGGGTTTAGGGTTTAGGCCCCTGGGCCAAGGCCTACCCTTCCACAGTGGGTGCTGCTAACAGTTTTGTGTCTGCCGCTTACAACATGCAGCTTCATCATATCGCAGTACTTGCTACCCCCGCTGCTGCTGCTGCTGCTCTTGCTGCTGCTGCTGCTGCTGCTGCTGCTGCTGCTGGGGCGGGTGAGCTGAGGCAGCCCCCACTTCGTCAGGTTTGGGGGCCTCCTAAATTTAATACCCCAGTAGGGGCCCTGAACCATGAAGCGAGGCAGACTCCAGCGGGGGCCCCCCCTATACTTCTGCAACCTATAGCAGCAGCAGCGGCAGCAGCAGCAGCAGCAGCAGCAACAGCAGCAGCAGCAACAGCAGCAGCACCCCACACTGGACGGTCCATGCACAGGTAGCAGAGGCTGGATGCGTGCATGCAAGCATAGCTTAACTGTTAGCAGAGACAGGTATCAGAGACGGTTTCGGGTTTAGGGTTTAAGGATTAGGGTTTAGGGTTTAGGGTTTGCGCCGACTTGTACGTCCAGCTAGACTTCCACCTGTCTAAGAGGGGGGCGCTGAGTCTCATCCCGACAGCTGTACAACTGCTGCTGCTGCTGCTGCTACTGTTTCTTTTGCAGCTGCAGCAGCAGCTGCAGCAGCAACCCCAGCAGCTGCTGCTCCTGTGAACTTGAAGGGCCCCACGGGGGGGAGATGGGAGACTCAGAAGTCTTGTCCTGCTGCCGCTGCTGCTACTGCTGCTGCTGCTGCTGCTTCTCCTGCCGCTTCTGTTGCTTTTCCTGCTGCTTTGGCTGCTGCTGCAGCAACAGCAGCAGCAAGCAGCACTCTCGGCTGCTGCGCTGCGCTTGAGGGCCTCTGGAGGTAGAGGGGCCCTAATATCTTTTTTCTTTATTATATAAAAATAAAAAGAAAATAAAGACAAATTTAATTAAATAATTAAAATGCTTTGAACTCTGACTTAATTAAATAATTAAAATGCTTTGAACTCTGACTGCATGCACAATGAAAATGGGGCTGCCGCTTTGAGCGCGCAGCACTTTGCTGGTGGCACCAAACCCTAAACCCTAAACCCTAAACCCTAAACCCTAAACCCTAAGCCTTTCTCCTGAATTTGCTGCGGGAAATGAAAGGCATCGTGCCGTCCTCTCTCCCCACCCTTATCTCTAAATCTTTCTTTTCTGTGTTAACATTAACCCCAAACCCTAAACCCTAAACCCTAAACCCTAAACCCTAAACCCTAAACCCTAAACCGTAGAAGGGCACTTTTTACAGGTCCTGGAATTCTTTTTTTTCCTCCCGCCTTGTGCTAGACCGACGCCCCCCTCAGAGCCAGGCCGAGCCGGCCTTGCTGCTGCTGCTGCTGCTGCTGCTGCTGCTGCTGCCGCTGCTGCTGCTGCTGCAGCAGGGCAACTGCAGCAGCTAAAAGGCGGCAGCAAGAGAGCAAGCAGAAACAGCAGGAGCAGCAACTGCTGCAACCGAACCGCCGGGATGATGGAGGAGGCCATAACCCCCTGCCCTGTACTCCCCACAGCAGCAGCAGCAGCAGCAGCAGCAGCAGCAGCAGCAGTAGCAGGTGTTGTCTGTAGCCATGTGTCCAGCCCTTGTACACCCACAGCACCCGCCTCCTCGTCAGCTTGGTGCTGAGGCGGGGGGGCCCCCAGGGTCTAAAGACGCATGCAACGCTGGGGGGCCCCTAAGGGGGGCCCCTGAGGCCCCCCAGGCAGCAGCAGAGGCCCCTGGGGGCCCCATCGGGGGCCTCTGCTGGGACCAGATGCTTTCGTTCATATCGCAAGTTGCTGCGGGTGAGGGTCTTTCTGCTGCAGCAGCAACAACCCCTCAGCAGCAGCAGCAGCAGCAGCAGCAGCAGCAGAAAGGCTGGGGGCACCTCTCTACGGAGGAAGCTCCTGTTTCTGCTGCTGCTGCTGCACCGAAGGGGGCCCCAATACAACAGGAAGCCTTTGTTGCTGCGCTGCCAGCATCTAACAGGCGCCGCCGCAAGGTTCAGCAGCAGCAGCAGCAGCAGCAGCAGGAGGTGCTGCTGCTGCAGCAGGAGGAGGAAAACCAACCCAAGAGACGGCGGGGACGACCTCCAAAAAGTGCCCAACAGCAGCAACAGCAGCAGCAGCAGCAACAACAGCAGCAGCAGCAGGAATACGCGCTTATTGAAGGGGCCCCTCCTTCTGGTTTGCATGATGAAGGGGGCCCTCCTGCTGCTTCTTTTGGGGCCCCCCCGTGGGAATCTTGGGGTAACCCTAGCAGCAGCAGCAGCAGCAGCAACAGCAGCAGCAACAGCAGCAGCAGCAGCAGCAGGGTACAGGGGCCCCCCGGAGGCGGTAGAAAGGGCATGGGGGCCCCCGCAACCCCGGAGGAGACCGGTGCTTTAGACGAGGAGACGCTGCAGCAATTAGAAGACAGTCTTTGTTCTTTTCTTGATGTAGAGAGGCCCCAAGAAGAAGCACTGGGGGCCCCGCACCCGCAGCAGCAGCAAAAGCAAGCCGCTCACAGCAGCAAAACAACAAACCAATCAGCGACGCACGGGGCCCCTGTCCTTGCTGCTGCAGCATCAGGAGCCGATTTGCAGCAGCAGGGGGGCCCCTGCTGCTCTCCATACGGCACTGGGGGCCCAGCTGCAGCACCAACTTTGCAGCAGCAGGGTTCAGAGGGGCCCCCTAACAATGAAGTAGATGCTGAGCAGCAACAGGGGCCCCCAAGGGGGCCCCCCGGAGGGTCCTCCCAGGTCGAGAAAGCCCTGCTGGAAGCGTGCAGCAGCAGCAGCAGCAGCAGCGCCAGCTGCTGCAGCAACGAGAATGGCAGCAGCAACAACGGCAGCAGCAGCGGAAGGAGCAGCACGTGCAGCAGCAGAAGCGCATGCAAGGGCTGCGATGCCTTGCGGCAGCAGCTGCTGCTGCAGCAGCTCCAGGGGTATGATGCTTGGGGGGAGGAGAATAAGAGGCTAAGTGCTACTCTTGAAACGAAGCAGCAGGCGCTGCTGCAGCAGGAGCAGCAGCTGCTGGAGCTGCAGCAGCAGATCGAGCTGCTGCAGCAGCAGCTGCAACAGGCAGCAGCAGAAGTCCAGCACAGAGAACATTTGCTGCAGGTGTCGCAGCAGCAGCAGCAGCGGCTCAAGAAGGAGCTGCAGCAAGCAGCAGAAGCAGAAGAAGAGCAGCAGCAACTTGTTGCTTCCACGCTGCTGCTGCTGCAGCGGGAGAGGGACGATGTAAAGAGACTCAAGCGGCTTGCTGCTGCAGATGCAAGGCGTATCAAGCAACTCACAGCCAGGCAGCAGCAGCAGCAGCAGCAAGGGCCTTGTGCTGCTGCTGCTGCTACTGCAGCACCGGAGGTCAGCGCCCCGCTATCCGAGCACTTTGGGGATTGCAGCAGCAGCAGCAACACTGCACCAGCAGCAACAGCAGCAGCACTGCAGCAGCAGCAGCAGCTGCTGCTGCCAACGGAGAGCCTTGATGATGATATATTTGGGGAGAGTAATTTTAATAAAGAGCAGCAGCTGCAGCTGCACAGCTCTGCAGACACTCCAACCGCAGCGCCTGTACTGCACAACCAGCAGCAGCAGCAGCAGCAAACGCAAGAGGAGGAGCAGCAGCAAAACAAAGGAGATCGCCTGCAGGCGTCGCAGCAGCCGCAGCCGCAGCTGCAGCAGCAGGACCAGCAGCAGCAAGTGGAACGGCTGCAGCAGCAGCTGGAGGACGAGTTTGTATCTGCGCTACAGCAAGAGCAGCAGCAGCAGCAGCTGTGTGAGCAGCAGCATCAGCAGCAGCAGCAGCAGCAGCAAGAGGGACGGCTACAGAAACACCTCAAGGGCGAGCTGGTAGTCCCTATGCAGCAGCAGCAGCAGCAGCACGAGCAACAACTGCAGCAGCAGCTGGAGGACGAGTTGCTCTCTTCCCTGCAGAAGGAGGAGAAGCAGCAGCAGCAGCAGGAACAGCAGCAGCTGCAGCAGCTGGAGGATGAGTTGTTCTCTTCTCTGCAGAAAGAAGAGCAGCAGCCGCAACATGAACTGCAGCAGCAGCAGCAGCAGCAGCAGCAGCAGTTGGAGGATGAGTTGTTGTCTTCCCTGCAGAAAGAAGAGGAGCACCAGCCATGTGAGCAGCAGCAGCAGCAGCAGCAGCAACAGCTGCAGCTGGAGGATGAGTTGCTGTCGCCTATGCAGAAGGAGAAGAAGCATCAGTGTGAGCAGCAACAGCAGCAGCAGCTGCTGCAGCAGCAGCTGGAGGACGAGTTGCTGTCTCACCTGCAGAAGGAAGAGAAGCAGCAGGAGCAGGACGCTCAGCAGCAGAAGCAACAGCAGCAGAAGCAACTGCAGCAGCAGAAGCAGCAGCAGTTGGAGGACAAACTCCAGTCTCCTGTACAACAAAAGCGGCAGCAGCAAGATGAGCAGCAGCAGCAGCAGCAGCAAGACCAGCAGCAGCAGCAGCAGCAGAAGCAAGAGCAACAGGGTCACCGGCAGCAGCAGCAGCAGCTGGAGGACGATCTCCTGCCCTCTCTTCAGCAAGAAAAGGGGCAGCAGCAGCAGCAGGGAAATGCGCTGCAGCAGCTGCAGCAGCAGCAAGGGGTGCAACAGCAGCAGCCTCTGAGGCAGCAGAAAGACAAGATCCTTTCTTCACTGCAGCAGGAGCTTCAGCAGCAGGAAGAGCAGCAGCTGCTGGACAATGGGCTGTCGTGTCTGCTGCCGCAGGAGAAACAGCAGCAGCAGCAGCAGCAACAGCGGCTAAGTGAGCAACAGCAGAAGCAGCAGCAGGAGGAAGAGCTGCCTCTGTCGCTGCAGAACGAGCATGAGCAACCACAGCAGCAGCAGCAGCAGGAACAGGATGAGCAGCAGCAGCTAGAAGACGAGATGCGTCCCTCCTTGCAGCAGGCGCTGCAGCAAAGACAGAAGCAGCAACAACCTGAGCAGCAGCAGCAGCAAAATAAGCAGCAGGAGCAGACCGAAGAGCTGCAGCAGCAGCAGCAAGCTGAAGTGCCGCAGAAGGAAGGAGAGGACAATACAGCTTTTCAGCAGCAGCAACAGAAGCAGCAGCAGCAGCAAGAGGAAGTGTTGCAGCAGAAAGAGCTTGCTCTCGCGCCACTGCAGCAACAGCAGCAGCAACAGCAGCAGGAGCAGCAGCAACAGCAAACTCAAACAACGCTCGCACAGCAGCAGCTGGAGGACGAGCTGCTGCTGCCGCTGCAGCAAGAGCAGGTGCAAGAGGCGCAGCAACAGGAAGAGCAGCAGCGGCAGCAGCAGCTTGAGGACGAGCTGCTGCTGCCGCTGCAGCAAGAGCAGCTGCAAGGGCAGCAGCAGCAGCAGCTTCAGCAACAGCAGCTTGAGGACGAGCTGCTGTTGCCGCTGCAGCAAGAACAGCAGCAGCAGCAGCTGTCGCAGGAGCAGCTGGAGGACGAGCTGCTGCTGCCACTGCAGCAGGAGCTGCTTCAGGAGGAGCAGCAGCAGGCAGAGGAAGGTGAGCTGCTGCTGCCGCTGCAGTTGCAAGAGCAGCCGCAGCGCCAGCAGCAGCAAAAGCAGCAGCTACGTGCTTCCCAGCTACACGTGCAGCAGAAACAGCAGCAGCCGCAGCAGCAGCAGCAGCAGCAGCAGCAGCAACAGCTGCCGCTTCGCCAGCAGCTTCCTAGGAAGCAGCGGCGGCAACATCAGCAGCAGCAGCAGCAGCCGAATCAGCAGCAGCTGCAGACTCAGCAGCAGCAGCAGCACGAAGCTGATGGAGCAGCACGAATGAAAAGACGCCGGTGTTCTCCTCACACTGCAGCAAAACCAGCAGCAGCAGCAGCAGCAGGTTTTGAATCAGCAGCAGCAACAGCAGCAGCAGCAGCAACAGCAGACGTGTTAGACAAGCTGTTTCTGCTCGTCGATGGCAGTCTTGCTGCAGCAGCAGGAAGCAGCAGCTGCTGCACTTACGCGTGGGCCCGGGGGCAGGCAGCTCCTGAAGTGCATGCAGTGCTGCAGCGGCTGCTGCTGCTGCAGCAAAACATGTCTGCTGCTGCTGCTGCATCCCCAGATTTGCTGCTGCTGCTGTGGCAGCCCTTGCTGAAACGTGCTGCTGCTTTGCAGGCTGCCTATACAGCGCAATATGCAGCAGCAACAACGGCAGCAGCAGCAACAACTCCTTTGCTGCGGCTGAGAGTGCTGCTGGCGCACATCTTGCAGCAGCTGGCTTCAGTGCAGCAGCAAAAAGGAGTGTGCCTTCAGCTGCAGCAGCAGCAGCAGCAGCAGGAGGTGCACCGGGTCCTGTGCATGTCTCTCGCTCTGGTGGAGGTCTGGCAGCGAGACCAGCAGCAGCAGCAGCAGCAGCAGCAGCATCTGCAGCAGCAGAAGCACCGGTGTTGCGGCGGGGAGCTGCAGCATCATCGTCTACTGTCTTCTCTGCGGCTTTTGCTGCTGCAGCGGCTGCGCTTTGCTGCTGCTTCTGCTGCCAGGTAATTCACAATGCGTATGGAATGCTGCTACTGTGCTGCAGCAGCAGCAACAGCAGCAGCAACAGCAGCAGCAACAGCAGCGGCTGGAGCCCCGCCACCCGCAGATATTAGGTGTTTAATAAAGTGTTTTTCTTGTACACAGAGTTGCTGCCTTCTAGCAGCAGCAGCAGCAAGTGTTGCTGCTAGCAGCAGCAGCAGCAAGTGTTGCTACTGCTGCTGCAGGTAGCAGCAGCACCTCAAATGCTTAAATATTAGTTGCATGCGTTTTATCTCGCATGCGTCGTTTGCCTCTGAGGCCTCTTTCTGAGGCCTTCATTTTTTGTTCGTTCAGCTCCAATATCCCCATCCTCGGCGCAGCTAGCTGTAGCTAGCTATAGCTAGCTATTGTTAGCTGTAGCTAGCTATAGCTAGCTATTGTTAGCTGTAGCTACCTGTAGCAAGCTGTAGCTTGCTATAGCTAGCTGTAGCTAGCTATAGGTAGCTGTAGCTAGCTATAGGTAGCTCTAGCTAGCCGTAGCAAGGTGTAGCTAGCTGTTGCTGAGCTTGCACAGCGGGGGCGGAGCAACAAGCGCAGCAGTAAGGAGAGACTCCTTGTTTTGATTGCAACATGAGCCGATATGTTTGCTGCAGCAGCAGCGAGAAGTTTTGCTGCTGCTGCTGCTGAACTGCAGCGGGAGAAAAACCGCAAATTTCTGTCTCAGTGTATCTCCAGTTTTGCTGCTGCACATCTATTGTTTAATGCTGTCTCTTTAAATATGCTGTTATAAATATAAATATATATATCTATATACTATATATATTTATATATATTTATTTCTGTAAAATGTTTGTTTGAGTTTGTAGCTGCTTATTGAAGGCAGCAGCAAAAAGATATTTTGTTGCTGCTTGTAGAGAGACAGCTAGCAGCTCGATCAAACATATATAGATATAAATGTTTATGTATAAGTGCTTATAAATAAATAAATATATATATATATATGCATATATATATATATATAAATATATATGTTCGTATAAATAGAGAAGAAATGCGGCATTAGGTGCAGCTGCAGCTGTTAGTTGTGGTGTACGTACAGCTGAGAGACACCTTTGTTGCATTTGTCTATCAAATTAAATTAAATCAAAACAAAACAAAACAAAACAAAAACTAAACACAGAGACGCATGCAGAGAGAGACAGAAGAGGCGCAGCCGTTCGGGTGTATGTACACCTGCGGTGTACAACACAGCTGTCTCTCTTGGGGGGTTTCTACAAAAGCCCCGTCGCTGCTGCTGATGCTGCTGCTGCATCTGTTGCTGTTGCAGCAGGAGCTGTTGCTGCTGCCGCTGCAGCAGCAGCCAAACCCCTTCCTGTCGCTTGTAGGGTTCGTCTTACGAAGACCCCAGAAGTTAGGGGCTGCCTCTGTCTGTCTCTTTATTGTTTGTCTCCTCTATCTCCTTCTCTGTCTCCTTTTTGCGCATGTTGCATGCAGCCTAAACCTGAATCTGCTGCTGCAGCAGCAGCAGCAGCAAACTGTTTCTGTCTCTTACTCCACCAAGGAAGGAGCTGTCTCCGCTTCAGAGAGTGCCTCCTCTGTCTGAGTTGTCTTCTCTTCCTGAGTTGTCTCTGCTTGAGACGTCTCCTGCTGCTGAGCTGTCTCCTCTTGCTGCTGAGGTGTCTCCTCCTGCTGCTGAGCTGTCTCCTCTTGCTGCTGAGGTGTCTCCTCCTGCTGCTGAGCTGTCTCCTCTTGCTGCTGAGATGTCTCCTGCTGCTGCTGAGCTGTCTCCTCTTGGCGTGATGTCTCCTTTACCTCAGGTGTCTCCCCTTGCTGCTGAGATGCCTCTTCTACCTGAGAGGTCTCCTGCTGCTGCTGAGATGTCTCCTCTTGCTGAGAAGCCTCCTCCTGCTGCTGAGGTGCCTCCTCCTGCTGCTGAGAAGCCTCCTCCTGCTGCTGAGAAGCCTCCTCCTGCTGCTGAGACGCCTCCTGCTGCTGAGATGTCTCCTGTGTCTGGGGTGTCTCCTCCTGCCCAGGTGTCTCCTCTGTCTGAGTTGTCTCATCTCTCTGAGATATCCCCTCTGCCTGAGGTGTCTCCTCCTTCTGAGAGGTCTCCTCTGTCTGAGACACCTCCTGCTGCTGCTGAGATGTCTCCTGCTGCTGCTGAGATGTCTCCTGCTGCTGCGATGCCTCCTGCTGCTGAGATGTCTCTTCTTGCTGCTGAGATGCCTCCTCCTGCTGAGATGCCTCCTGCTGCTGAGGTGTCTCCTCCTGCTGCTGAGACGCCTCCTCCTGGCGAGGTGTCTCCTCTACCTCAGCTGTCTCCTGCTGAGATGCCTCCTGCTGCTGAGATGTCTCCTCCTGCTGCTGAGATGTTTCTTGCTGAGATGTCTCCTGCTGCTGCTGAGATGTCTCCTGCTGCTGCTGGGAGGTCTCCTGCTGCTGCTGGGAGGTCTCCTGCTGCTGCTGAGAAGTCTCCTGCTGCTGCTGAGAGGTCTCCTGCTGCTGCTGGGAGATCTCCTGCTGCTGCTGAGAGGTCTCCTGCTGCTGCTGAGATGTCTCTACCTGCTGCTGCTGAGATGTCTCTTCCTGCTGCTGCTGAGATGTCTCCTGCTGCTGCTGAGATGTCTCTACCTGCTGCTGCTGAGATGTCTCTTCCTGCTGAGATGTCTCTTCCTGCTGCTGCTGAGATGTCTCTTCCTGCTGCTGCTGAGATGTCTCTTCCTGCTGAGGTGTCTCTACCTCAGGTGTCTCCTCTTGCTGGGATGCCGACTGTGTCTGGGTTGTCTTGTCTAGCATAGACTCCCCCTCCTGCTGCTGAGATGTCTCTTCTTGCTGCTGCTGGGATGTCTCATCCTGCTGCTGAGATGTCTCCTGCTGCTGCTGAGGGGTCTCCTGCTGCGGTGTCTCCTCTAGTCTACGTGTCTCCGCCTGCTGCTGAGATGTCTCCTGCTGCTGCTGAGATGTCTCTTCTTGCTGCTTCTGAGATGTCTCTTCTTGCTGCTGAGATGCCTCATGCTGCTGCTGAGATGTCTCCTGCTGCTGAGATGTTTCCTGCTGCTGCTGAGATGTCTCCTGCTGCTGCTGAGAGGTCTCCTGCTGCTGCTCAGATACCTCCCCGTCCTGCTGGGGTGTCTCCGCTAGTCTGCGCGTCTCCGCCTGCTGCTGAGATGCCTCCTCCTCCTGCTGCTGGGGTGTCTCCTGCTGAGGTGTCTCCTGCTGAGATGTCTCCTGCTGCTGAGATGTCTCCTGCTGAGGTGCCTCCTGCTGCTGCTGGGATGTCTCCTGCTGCTGCTGAGATGCCTCTTCCTGCGGCTGAGATGTCTCCTCCTGCTGCTGAGGTGCCTCCTGCTGCTCAGGTGTCTCCGCTAGTCTGCGTGTCTCCGCCTGCTGCTGAGGTGCCTCCTCCTGCTGCTGCTGAGATGTCTCTTGCTGCTGCTGAAATGTCTCCTGCTGAGAGGTCTCCTGCTGAGGTGCCTCCTCCTCCTGCTGCTGAGATGTCTCCTGCTGCTGCTGAGAGGTCTCCTGCTGCTGCTCAGATACCTCCCCGTCCTGCTGGGGTGTCTCCGCTAGTCTGCGTGTCTCCGCCTGCTGCTGAGATGCCTCCTCCTCCTGCTGCTGAGGTGTCTCCTGCTGAGATGTCTCCTGCTGCTGAGATGTCTCCTGCTGAGATGCCTCCTGCTGCTGCTGAGATGCCTCTTCCTGCGGCTGAGATGTCTCCTCCTGCTGCTGAGAGGTCTCCTGCTGCTCAGGTGTCTCCGCTAGTCTGCGTGTCTCCGCCTGCTGCTGAGGTGCCTCCTCCTGCTGCTGCTGAGATTCCCCTTCTTGCTGCTGAGGTGTCTCCTGCTGAGATGTCTCCTGCTGAGATGTCTCCTGCTGCTGCTGAGATGTCTCCTGCTGCTGCTGTGATGTTTCTTCTTGCTGCTGAGTTGTCTCTCCTTGTTGCTGAGAGGTCTCCTCTACCTGAGGTGCATCCTGCTGCTGCTGAGACGTCTCTTCTTGCTGCTGCTGAGATGTCTCTTCCTGCTGCTGCTGAGATGTCTCTTCTTGCTGAGATGCCTCCTGCTGCTGCCGAGGTGTCTCCTCTCCCTGAGCTGTCCCCTCTAGTCTACGTGTCGGTGCTTGTTCAGATGTCTCCTGCTGCTGCTGCTGAGATGTCTCTTCTTGCTGCTGCTGAGATGTCTCTTCTTGCTGCTGCTGAGATGTCTCTTCCTGCTGCTGCTGAGATGTCTCTTCTTGCTGCTGCTGAGATGTCTCCTCCTGCTGCTGCTGAGATGTTTCGTCTGCCTGAGGTGTCTCCTGCTGCTGCTGCTGAGGTGTCTCCTCCTCCTGCTGCTGAGTTGTCTCCTGTAGTCTGCGTGTAGGGGCCGCCCCCTCTTCTGAGTCCTCTGGTTGCTGCTGTGGGGCGACGCGCTGCTGAGGTATTTGCTTTGTCTGAGGTGTCTCCTCTGCTTCAGGTGTCTCCTCTTGCTGCTTTGCTGCTGCTGATTTATCTTCTTCATCCCCCCAGATGAATTCCTTCACAATAGTTTTGCTGCTACTTTTGTTCTGTCACGGCAGCTAGACTGCTGCTGCAGCTCCTGCATCTGCTCTTGCAGCTGCTGCTGCAGCTCGTCCTGCATCCGCTGCTGCTCCTCCAGCTCTTTTACTTCTGCTGCGTGTGCATCTAGATAAACAACAGACATATTCTGTCTGGGGTCAGACTCTGGTGTAGCATTATCATCAACAACTTTTAAAGGAGCTTCTAAGGGCTCTTCAGATCCGTCTGGTGCTGCTGCTGCTGCTGCTGTTTCTGCTGTAGTTACGGGTATATCATCTGCTGCTGTTGACGTAGGTTCAGGTAGAGCTGCTGCTGCTGCTGCTCCTACTGCTGTTGCTGCTGCTGCTTCTCGTGCTGGTGCTGCTGCAGCAAGCACCAGAAACTGAAGTACCCTCAACATTGTTGATTCACAGAATATGCCTAACCGGGTTGAAGACAATGAGAAGGGCACTCTAAACCCTAAACCCTAAACCCTAAACAGTCAATCGTAAACCCTAATTTCTCGGGGTTTTGAATTCCTTCTACCTACACCTCCCTGCAAACAGCAGAAAGACAGAATTTTGATCAAAGAAGCAAAAGAAACAAAGATGCAATAGTAAGACAAGCAGCAACAGCAGCAGCAAACAACACCAGAAGGCCTCTAGTTGCTGCTGCAGACGAATTTGGTGTTGCTCCTGCTCAATGCACGAGTTTAGAGATTGAAACAAAAAGAAATAAAAAAAGAAATAAAAACAAATTATAAATAATATTTCATTTGTAATTGTGGAAGACAATCAAAGAGACTCCTGCTGCTGCTGTTGCTGCTGTTGCTGCAGCTGCCTGTACACCTCAGCGGGAGCGAGTAGACCGCCCCGAGGCCTTCTCCCTCCTGCTGCAGCACTTTTTACATGTTTTTTCTTTATTTCAAAATGAAATATATTAGAATTTAAATTATTATATCTTTTTATTTCTTTATTTCAGACTAGAAGAAGTCTGGGGGCAGCAATAAAAGGGGCCGTGCTTCCCCCCTCAACCTCAAGGGCGGTCCTGCTGCTGCTGCTCCTGCTGCTCCTGCTGTTGCTGCTGCTGCTCCTGCTGTTGCTGCTGTGGGTTTCCTGCCTGTTGGTTTGTTTATCAGTCTTCCTGCAGCAGAAAGAAGAAGGCTTCTAATGTAATCAAAAAGATATGTTTATAAACAAAGGAAGAAGAAGGAAGAGGAGGAGGTGAAGCAAACACACATCTTTATATTTGCTGCACTCGAACAAATAAATATATTTTATTCTTCTTATTAAAACAACTTCTTTAAAAGACAACTCTTTAACTCTTTAATTCTATTTTTGCGGTGTACATCCACCATAGAAGAAAGAGGCTGGAGCAAATAGGGCAGAAGGTCACTCTGAAGGGGACTGCCCCTAAACCCTAAACCCTAAACCCTAAACCCTAAACCCTAAATCCTAAATCCTAAACAGCAGAGTAGAAAGGAAGCCTTCAAACCCTAAATTCTGAATTCTAAACCCTATTTCTGTCTCTTTATGTTGAAGCTCCCAAGCGCAGCTCCAGTAGTCCTTAAGTATAACCTTAACCCTAAACCCTAAACCCTAAACATTATGAGAGAAGGCAACAGGAAGCCAATGGAGTGTCTGGGGGCGCCTTCCTTTGCTGCTAAGGAAGAGAGAAAAACAGCTGTCTTTTTCTTAACCCTAAACCCTAAACCCTAAACCCTAAACCCTTCGAATGCGTGGCTCTGCTACATAGAAAGTATATTAAAAGACAGAGAGAGAGAGAGAGAGAGAGAGAGAGAAACAACAACGACTGATGAGGCCCAGACCCTAAACCCTAAACCCTCAGCACGCTCTCAGCTGGGGAAACAAAAAGAGATAAAGGGGGGACAGCACAGCATCTCTGTTCTTGCAAATGAGCTGCTATAAACCCTAAACCCTAAACCCTAAACCCCAAGCAAGAGAGACAAAGTGCGGAGGCCTCTCTATGAGGACAGCTGTCCCTCTACAGCTAGCCACACCTAGCTGGAGGGCCTAGGGTTTAGGGTTTAGGGTTTAAGGGGTTTTGTCTTCTTTAATTGCTGGGTCAGGATTATCTCAGCAACTGCAACACGCACACAAAACAACAGCCTGAAAAGCCCTAAACCCTAATTAAACCCTAAACCCTAACTAAACTCTAAACCCCAACTAAACCCTTAACCCTAACTAAACCCTTAACCCTAACTAAACCCTAAACCTTTCCCACATTGAGAAGGCTGGTGCAGGCCTATCTATGTGCATTCCTAAACCCTAAACCCTAAAGGACAAGATAGCCACCGCCCTAGGAAACGCAGACGCAAAACCCTAAACCCTAAACACTACACACTAAACCCTAAACCCTAAACCCTAGACCTTTAACCCTGAGACTGCAAGTCAATACAAAAAAATTATTATTTCGCATTTCATCTAATATGTATTCAAGTACGGGGAATCGGGGTTTAGGGTTTAGGGTTTAGGGTTTAGGGTTTAGGGTTTAGCGTTTAGGCTGTGGGGGTTGAGGGTCTCCATCGTCGATTCTGTCTCTGCTGCAGCTGCAGCGCATGCACTGTCTATTCTTTTCTCTTCTTTCATTTGTTTTTTTAATTTTATTTATATTTTATATATTTAGGGTTTAGGGTTTAGGGTTTAGAATCAAAGATTCTCCTCCCCCCCGTCACTCCCCCGATGCAGAGTTCAACGGGGGCCCCCGGGGGCCCCCCCCATTCTGAGGCCTCTTTGGGGCCTCCCAATCTTCAGGGCCCCGGGGGCCCCCCTTCTTTTGATTTCAACCCATCACTTTCCCCTGTTGAGGCCCCAGGGGCCCCCCGCTCTTCTGGGGCCCCCCAGGGGCCCCTTCCCTCTGGGGGCCCCCAGGGGGCCCCCCTTTCTGAAGGCCCTGAGAGGCCCCTTCTTCCTGGGGACCCCCGTTCGTCGGGGGCCCTCCAGGGGCCCCCACCTTCTGGGGTCCCCCAGGGGCCCCCTCCCTCTGGGGCCCCCCAGGGGCCCCTTCCCACTGGGGCCTCCCAGGGGCCCCTTCCCTCTGGGGCCCCCCAGGGGCCCCCTCGTTCTGGGGGCCCCCGATCGTGGGGCCCAGGTTTGATGGAGGGTTTGATGTTGGGGGCCCCACAAGCTAAGGGTGTACGCGTGATAGAGAATTGCAGCAGCGAGTATTTTTTATCTGTTGTAGTACCTCAGGGCTTACCTTGCGTTATTAGGG